TCTCTGCTAACTTAAGCAGATTTTCTTTTCCTTCCTTCCTGAAAAACAAATCTGCCTATGATTGTGAGTACTGAGCTGTTAAAAACTTTTGTGATAGTTATAACTAATTGTGGCTTATATGCGTAGGAGAAAAGTAGAAAAACACCTTGAATTGTTAATTTTGCCATTACTCTGAGTGACATCTCTCTGTAGGCTGACAAACATTCCTACTTGCACGTTTACTCACATTTTCTTTTGCATGAGGAGATATGAACTTTAAGGCTTGCATTTGATGTGGTTAAAAGGCTTTATATTTTAAGTACCAGTGGCAATTCTGAATGTTACAGCTTGCCTTAAGCTGTATAATTGCCAAATATTCTTTCAGAATGCTAAGAAACATTTGGAAATCCATCATTATCTGGCCCATGGTTTTGATCAATTCCCTCAGTATAAAAGTGTGGCTAGGGATTAACTTCTGCAAGCTGGTGAGTTTGCATTTTTGCCATCAGTAGGGTGGCTCTAAAATCATGACACTTGCACAGGAGTTACTGCTGGGGGGATCTGGCCTGTCCTTTGGTTAGTAAAGTGTCATCCATTGTGGTGTCAAATACAAAAATGTAGGATATGGTTGCAGAAAACATATGACTGATATTTTCCCTGTTAAAAATAATTTGAATTTTTTTTGGCTGACCTAGATGTTGTAAGACAATTTGGATAAAAAAATAGAAACCAAACCTCAACAAAAGTTTTGGCTTTTATCTGGTAGGTGTTCTGACTTTATGCACACATTTGGATTGAAAGGTTATGTGTTTTATCTTCCACATATAGAAATGATTACATGGTTTGAGTTGAGGGTTGGCATTGGACAGGGCAAGCAGACAGGAATTACTTCCTGACGTTCCTCAGGACCTGTTGCCCAATGGTGAGGGAAGTTCAAACTTCTCTATAATGCTCATAGTTGCTAATTACAATTTAGATCTGTATTTTCTTATTTTTGACACTTCTATTTTAACAGAATTTCCAACACTGGCAGTCAAATATTTACCATATTATTTTTTTAACCCACTTTCATGGTGTGTGTTTCCATTTACACTTATCTGAGATGTAAAACTGATTCAGGAAAATCTAATAGTCACAAATAAAATGTGAGTAGTTGGTAAAGGTTAGGTGATGTTGCAGATTAATTTCATGAAGCAGCAGGAATTTGAAGACCTGCTTGGAGATTGATGGGCTCAGGAATGAGACTTGACCTTCCATAGATGTATGATTCAGCAAGTTAAGGGGCTTGCTAAATTCACTACTTATCATAAACATCCATTAGCTGTCAGAATAAAAAATTGCCAGGACCTTTCATGTCCTGCGCTAAGAAAATTTTGTTAGATAGGGTCCCATGGCAGGGTGCATAAATTAGTGTCCAAAATCTTATTCCATCTATAACACAGGACTCTGGACAATATGTCCTCATTATCATTTACTTAAATATTTTCACTCTTGTTTCATGGGTGACCAGTAGCTTAGTCATACCACTCTGAAGTTGTGTATGATTATTCTAAAACAAATTATCTTTAAAAAAAAAACATTTCAAATGCCATAAGCTGAGAAAAAAAAAGCAGATAGAATAAATAAGAGGTGAGAAACCTTAGTGAAAAAAGTGCACACCATCTCAAGTTCAAACTATCAAGTGTCATTTTTTAGTAGTGAGTTCTCCGAGGCTGCTAGGTCATGCACATTCCATGTATTTTTGTAGTAATGATGTTATTAATAATAAATAATTTTGTAATAATAGTGTTACTGTGCAGTTGCTTTATACTGGGGGAAAAAAAGAAATTACTGGGCCAAATATCTGCTAAAAAGATCTGTTAATGATTTTCCTTATTTGAAGTTGAAACTTGTAAATACCTGGGTTTTATTACAAAAGGAGAATTGTTCAACACTTTTTTGGTTGTGGGTTTTTTCCCTAGTGATTTTCCAGATACCTGGCACCAAGGAGTAAAATATGATTTTATTATTTTCTCATGAAAAAGAAATGGGAGAACTTTGAGAAATATTTCTGTTGGCTATTTTTTGAAAGATAGAGAGTATGGTAAAGATAGTGAAAAATAAAGAATATGGTGAAGTGTACTGTGCTGACCTATTTAGTCTATTTCTTCTCACTGTGATAATCCTGGATTATGCTCAGTAATTCTGCTAACACTATTTACAAGAAACTGTGGTCCTTTTTTCACTTTGCTAAAATGGTTTGGAAGTAACAAAAGTATTTTAATGGTGATGGATAGTCCAGAGTTTGAGAAGTACTCATGCTTGGGGAGTAATAATTGACAAAAGAATTGGCTTTTCAAAATTGGAAAAAACAAAGATGTTTTCAAGATGAAATATTTCAGAGAATGGAAAACATTGTGAAAATCACTCTGATGGAGGTGACAGGGCTTGCAGGGCTTAAGTCCCAGTGCTTTCTTTTTGTCCTGGAATAAGTGTCTTTACCTCTTGTAACCACAGTAGCCTTCTTGTCTGGTTTGAATGATTAAAAGTGATTGTTTGTGCTAGATTTGAGGGTGAGATTGCAGCTCTCCCCTCCTTGTAGCTGCTTCCACAACACTGCAGTTAAAACAGCCTTTCCTGAGTGAGATGTTTGTTTTCTATGACTGTTTCTACCTTCCTCCTCAGTGAGGAGAAGACTCATGGTTTTGTTCATAGAAACATGCTTTATATTTAATTAGTATTGAATTAAGTTTTCATTCATGTCCATTACAGGAATTCTTTCTAGGGTTCTCTAAGTTGTAATTGGGGGAAGTGTGTATATATACTTGCATTTTCTATAATTTTGAGTCAAGGTAGTAAATTTTGGAGTTGACCAGTTAAATATTAGACACCATGCTATCGTGACAGTTTATAATGGCACTACCTCCTGCTGCACTTTGAGACTATGCATTTTTGGGTAAAGAGGACACTAAAGTTCTGATTTCCACTTCTGCTGTCAGTAGTAATAAATTTTCAATATACTACTGAAAGGTCTAGGAAAATTGGAAGGCAGGAACTGGCAGGTAAATGTGATGAATTTATTTTGGCCTTGCTGTTGGATAGAGGAAAGCTGGAAAAGTCAGAGCCTGCCAAACAGAGCTTCCTGGCAAGAATTACTGCCCTACCTCAGACCTTTGGAAAAAACCACTCAGTATGACTGGATGTGTTAGAAAAATCTCTCATTGCATCTGGAAAATCGTTTGCAACCTGTTTCCATCAGTCCAGAGACTGGAGTGTTCATGTATCTGCAACTGATTTGCATCCAGGGCCAAGGCACAATAACTTAAGATCGACTATCACTCGTGGATCTCTGTGTCATCCTTTTTTGTTCCAAATCTGGAGATTACATAGGATTACAGTGGATTTTGTCTTTTTATAGGTTGGTTTTTTTTTTTTAATTACTGTTTTCCATTCCCTTGGTACCTATGTGTCCCAGATGAACCTTGGCTCCTCACATTCTGTTGGACTGTGGATACAGACCTTGCAAAGAGCTTTGTGGCAGCCACAGAAACTGCATCGCAGATTGATACTTTCAAATAGTTCAAAACAAGCTTACTCTGTGTTTGGTTGGTTTTTTTATGTTAGTCTTATAAATTACTCTTGTTAATCTTACTATTTTAAGGGCTTTACATTTAAAAATATTTTTGCAGAATCTCATGGTGCAAGAGCAGTATGATTGTGTGACTGGTAAAGCAACTGTTTTGGATTTCTCCAGTTTATTTGAAGGAATCAGGGAGACCAAATTGGCTGGAGGAGTTAAGTTACTCTTATAAGTCATTCTAAACAGGAAATTAAGGAGGAAAAAGCACCCTGCTGTGAAAATAGTAATGCACTGTGAGGCAGTGTTGAAGTGCAGTAAATAGGAAAAATGTGTTGTGGCACTACTGCGTGCTTATAATTTGTTCTGTGCATTGACTCCATTTATTAATGCCACATAATAAATGTGCTTGCACAGTTCTGAATAAGCAGTACCAGTAATCTGCTAAGATAGTACTGAGCATGAGTATTAGTTGTCATCAGAACTACTTTTTTATATTGGCAGTAATTTTTACCAGATGATGTAATTTTTTTTCCTGACCATTCAAGTGTGGTGGATTAGCAAACTAAAAGCCCACATAGTTGCTTAAAGAGGGGAACAGATTTATGGATATAAGGTATTTTATTTCTAGTTTTTGGTTCAGATGTGGTGAAGAAATTGTCTTTTTTATCCTTTCTCTTTCCAGCTTGAGAAATTTTTAATTATTTGGATAGTTAAGCAGTCATCTTGGCTGCTTGGAGAATATTGTCCTAATTCTACAAAGATTAGATAGACTTAATGTTTCCTTCCAGGTATGTTTTAGAGTGAGAAAAATAAAAACTAACATGATTTAGATTATGTTGTCAGATGGTGGAATTGGCTTCCTCCCTCTTTTGACAGATGGGGAATCTGTTGATCTTCCAGAGGTAGTGTAAAGATGTGATTTTAATTCTGCACTTATCTTTGATACAAGCTTGACTCCTCCAAACAGTGGTGAAGTGAAAAAACAGACTAAATATTGAACCTGTGATTTTCTAGGATTTTCCTAAAGTCACTTATTTGGTAGCTTAAGTCTTCATCTGAGGTAATCATGGAGGCCTGAAGTTGTTTCCTGTTAGTGTCTTTATTTTAGACATAATTAGAAATATAGTTTTGTTGGAAGGCTGCTTGAAGCTATTGCAGGTGCTCTTTGTGATGCCCTGCTGCTTACTGAGAAGTTGCAATATTCAACTGTTACAAACTGCATGCTTTACAGAAGGTGATCCTTTAGGCTATTTGAATTAGAATTTAAGCGCTAATAAAACCAAAAGAGAAGAAGCTTAAACTTTCAGATGTTGTCCCTACTTTCACCCATCTTGCTTTTTGTAAGAGTGCTCGTCCAGGTCTGGGTGTTTGAGTTGGAGGGAGCTGGATCAGGAAGCTGGCCTGCCTGTGAGAACATATCCCTGTTGTTCATGCTGTGTAGATGTAAGATTTTTTTGGCTAGCAATGTGACTCCTATAAAAAAGCTGTGCTTTCCAATGCCAGTTCTGGTTCTGGAAGCTCTGTAATGAGATACCTCTTAAAAGTAGTTAGGTAACGAGACAGAACCCCTCAGCACTTTCCAGTTTCTCATCCCTGGAGGGAAAAGTTGAAGTTAGTTATTTTAAATTCACTCTGATTTATTTATATGCTGAATCTTTCTTCTTGGTGAGGACACATATTGCATTCTGGCATTGCTACCTCACTTATGGCTCAAGAGGCTCAGATCAGGTTTCTGAACATGGAATTAATCCCATTCTCCAGCTATTTCAGCATCCCTTCCATCATCCTGGACTGTATCAGACCAATGCCAGGTTTCCACTGTACTAAAACTTAGAGTCTAATAATATTAACCCTACCTCCCAGCTTTCTGCATTAAGGATATTGAGCAATGCTTTCGTATCTTGTTTCTAGAAAATAAGAGACAGGAAGTGTAATAACATATTATTAGATGGTAATACTTGATGGTTAAAAGAGGGTTTAGGGGTTTATTTAAAAATAAATTTAAATCAAGTCAGTTTCTTCACAAAGTCATTCCCTACTGAAATAACAGTGTACAATTGCCCTCGGAGTAAAACTTGAGGAAAGATTTTTTGTTAATCACTATTTCATCATTTGATGTATTTAATAAGTGAACAGTCCTAAGACTGGTAATAAAGAAAGTGAATTTATTCAATTGAAATTTCAATTGAAGTTTCTAACTTCAATCTCTTTTACTATCAGGGAGATAGAACTCCTTTTGCTCCACAGCTGTCAATACAAAATATTTTAATTTTCATCTGTAGTATTCTACTGAAAATAAGTCATATAAAAATAGGATTTAAATATAGTATTGAAACCTGTGGTGGGTTTATACTTGTCTCTGCTTTTTGTTTTCTTAGTCATCAATCTGTTTCTTTAGTTACTTCAAAAGGGCACCACTAAAAATTGATGCTGTTATTTTTCACTTAAATATGACTCTTGCTCTAAAGCATCACTGCTTGTCACAATCTGGGTTTTTCAGTGGCTGTAACTGAAAGCTAAAGCTAAACCTTTGATTTCCCAGAAGTTTTATGCAACTGAAATAATATGCTGGGAATTTGGAGTCTCATGGTAACCCCCATGGCTGTTCCTTCTATATCATCAGGCCTGTATCTTTGGGTTTGATGGCCCTTTTGAAAATGCCAGAGCATTTTAGGATGCTTATCATACCATGGCCATGGGAGTGGGGTTTTGCCTCTGGGTAGTTTGGTGTTTGTGGCTGCACAGCTGTTGTTACAAGGATGGTGGTACTTTCCTCTTTGGAATCATGGTCAGCTCTCAGATGGTCATATTTATGTAAATAAAGTCTCCATCTTGATCTCACTGAGGTTAACAGAAGTGTTTCTCTTTGACTGTAACATCTTTTGTTCAGACTGAGCTTTTAAGAAGGTAGAAGTATATAAGGATTTAATTGCTTGTATTTGGATTAACTGAGATTAGATGAGTTGTTCAGTATTTAGTCAAGTCACTAAAGAAATGCTTATGATTCATAATGGTACAGCACATTTGGGAAACCCTCATGCCATTGAAGTTTAAGGAGTTAAGTCTAAAAATGAGGAACTCTGATATAGAATTGTGTCATGAATATCTTACCTTTCTAGTGCATGTGTCACACAAATATGATACTTGACACTTCCTTATTTCATCATTTGGGACTGGATTTCTCTGGGTTTTCCTTAGTACACCTTTCTCTAAAGTATGATGTTATCACTGGTCCTTTTATTTTTGTGCCTTGACAACACTGACTGTCATTGTTAGAACTCGGATTTCTGGTTTCTATGCTTTAAGAAGAATCTGAGTTTATATTACAATGTATTTACAATTATGTTTTGTTAAATTTTGTTAATATGACTCCTAAAGATTCAAAAGGTGATGGCAATGAAGTGAGGCTATTAAAAACAAAACAAGCACAAAATCCCCACAAAAATACCAACAGACTCCCAGAAAAAAACTGCCTTTATGGATTTGAAACCATTCTTCTTTAAGCCGAACTTGGAGGGTTTTTTTAGTATTGTGAATGTCAGAACTATTCATAGATACCAGACATGGAAATGCAAAAGTTATATTTTCTCCAGGTCTTAGAGCATTGAGATGGCTTAGAAAGAGCTACTGGGGCAAAAAAAAAAACAACAAAACAAACCCAGAAAAACCCCCAAGTGCATCTACTGCAATTAGCTTCAGCTTGAATAGGAAAAAGAGGGATTGTTCCTGTATCTGTGGGGTATTTTCAATTGAGCAATTTACAGCTGAGGTTAGGTGAGCAGGGAGGGCTTGACAGAGTGTGGTTTATTGCTGGTGACAAGTAAGACCAAAGGTACTTGCAGTGCCAGGTATTCTTTTAATACTTGACCAAAATGATTGATTGTATTTGCCTACTGTAAAATATAACTGCCAGTGTTGGAAAATATGATGATGAGTATTTAATTATATGAGGAAATGATGGCTTTTACTATGCAGATCCTTTGAATAAAAAGGGCCAAAGGGCCAAGTGAGGTTTTATGACCTGCACTGTAGCATAGATTCATTGCCTTTTTAAGCATTTGATGTAAAAGAAGACTAAATTAAAAGTATGAAAAGGACCCCCCCCCTCAGGAAATAGATTTAAAAGGTGAAACTCTCAAGTGAGAGGGAGTTAAAAATTGTGGGTTTGGATTTTCACTTGAAAAGGAGTTCTTTGGTTTATGTGCTAGAATAGCAGAGGATGCTGTAAAGACTTGTAAATTCTTCCTGACCAACTCGTAGGCTGTGGCTAAAATCAGCATTAAACCTGCCCTGAAGTAACATTCAATTCTTAAAGCTCAGATACTTAAATTGACAGCTGTGGCCCAGAAGAATTTTCTGTTGAGCTTTGAAATCTGCCATGTTTACAATGATTTGTACATTTTGGTCTTATGTATTTCAGACCATTCCCCAAGTGTGTTGACCCATAAAGATCTTTCCTTAGTGCTGGGCAAGTCATTTATGAAAAGCAATAGCAACAGCATGCCTTCATCTACATGGTGAATGTGTTGTATGTGTTGTGTGAAGTTATTGCTGGGAGCTCTGCAGAAGAGGAAGAGCACTGCTGCATTCAGTGTGTTCCTTATGCAGTGCTAATGCATGGCGTGGAGGGTAAGAGCCTGTGCTCATGCAGAAGCTGACCTTATCAAAAGAGAAAATAGTATTAAAAATGTATGAATCTTTCTAATGCTTTTTAAGGGAGAGCATGGGGAAAAACCTGGTTGTGCCTGGAACATGATAGTCCATTTATTTTCATCATTCTTGGCCTGTTTAGTTGTTGTTTTACTTTTGTTGACTAGTGATGCAAATCTCTCAGTCTCAGTGGTGATTTAACTTTGGCAGAGGAATTGTGTGGATGCAAGGCACACCCATTATTAATATTTCAGTGTTTCTATTACAGTGCCATTTTGGTAAGTGGGAGGTGAGGATACATCTGTCCCCTCTGCATGAAGAAAACCAAGTGCATGGGAATGTGTAGACAGATGGAGAAAAAGATAATTTAAGAAGAGAACTAGAATGGTTTAGCAGACTGTTGCTACAAATCACTCTTATGGAAATCGAGTTTTTAGACCACAACATCTTTCTTGAATGGAAAGAAAAGTAGATGCTTTGTAAAATTTTGATTCTGTAACTTAAAATCCTGTGTATTCTAACATCAGACAGTCTCTTCTGTTAGCAGTGTTGATACGTGTTATCACAGGGACTAATCATTGCAGAAGATAAATGGCTTGCATTAATACACAAATGCATATACACACCATGTGGAACGCCATTACATATTTCATTTTTAACTTTAAAATGGCTCATACAAGAGGTTGTATGACATGCTCAGACTGTTCAGATCAAATTGAAGTTGTTCAGCCTTTCCCTTGCGGCTCACTGGGGCGCATCCATCAGGACCTGACAAAGGCTGGGCCCCAAGGACACCCCATCCCTGCAGCTTCCCTCTTTGCCCACAACCCATGGCAGGTCCTGCCCCAGCAATCGCACAGCAGGGCCAGTCTGCAGCTCCCTGTCCCCTGCACCAGGTGCTGCTGCATCCAGCTGCGTCCCAAGGGCAGGAAGGATAAGAAGAACGCAAACAAGAACCTCTTCCACAGATTTCTTTGGGAGCCAGTTCAGCTGTGGCATTGTTGGACAGCCAAAGACAGAATGCTTCACAGAATGCTTTACATTTTTACAGAAATGCTGCAGTAGTCACCTCGATTTCTCTTCATTTTGCTCAAGGTGTGTTTGAGTGTTCAATTGGTCCCTGTCCTTTCTTATGCCCATTCTTGGCATCAAGATCAAGTATTTCTCCTTCTTGGACTACTTCAACCAGAACATGTTACCATTTGTTTTAATTTCTTCTGCCAGGTGCGCTCTGCCTTACAGCTGCAGTGAGACAAAGTAGCTTTAACCTTTTACTCTGTCTTGCCTGGTTTGTTGACCCCATCACTCGAGGGCCCAGGTAGGGCTCTTACCTCTTCCTCTCCTCTGCCCTGTGCTGGTGATGGATTTGACAGGCTTCTGGATGGGCTGTGCTGCAGACACTGTGTATCAGCACAGTGCTAATTAGTGCTCTGATGGTGAGAGCCAGAGGCAACAATGGCAGTAGCCTCCCAAACCAACTGATTTTTTTTTTCTCCTATTCATGGGTCTTGCACCATAGTTACTACTAGAGTGATAAAATCCTGTGCTAAAATTAGTATTGGAAGGAGAGGTTCTTTGGAAAAAGGGGCTTTTCTATTCTGTAATTGCATTTCTCCTCTGTAACCTCATTGCATAACAACCATAACATCCTGAAGTTTTATTTTTATGATATACAGATATATTAATTATATATTAATTTTTTAAAATTACATAACATAAATCTATAGTTTTACAGATATATATACTCTTGGGCAGACGTGTTCCTTCATCTTGCTTTGCTTTCTGCACTCATTTGTGTTGGACTGAGTGGTACAAGGAGAAGTACAGATGCAACTGAAAGATTATTTTCACT